ACCTGTTTTCGCAGTCGGTCATCCACCAGGAACAAATCGATCATACTTCTCTCATTCTTTCTTTCTCTAGTATACATATGGATTTTCTTGTGATTAAACATAGTGTTTGTCACAAGAAGACCCTTTTCTTTGCATACCGCCAGTATAAGCTTGCCAGCATCATTAACCCTTTTATCGCCAAACTTTCCAAGTACCGACTCGTACCCTGGTCGAGCGGTACCAACCCATCCATTCAAATCACCACATACAACAATCCTTTCGTTTCCCCTAGCCAAATCTAGAACTTCTCTTACATTCTCCCAAAACTCCTCCAGCTCAGCCCTGGACGACGAAGCCACCGGCGCATAAACAGCCAAAAGGAATAACTTCGTCAGTCCCAATTTAAAGCGAACCCAGAGAAGTCTTGAGTTCACAAACTTATATTCAGTCATAACATCGACCAACCGAGAAGACAGCAGCACCCCCACTCCCTGGCAGGCGTTCTCGCTCTCCGGGACTCCGGACCATAGAGCTAACACCCCGCCAGGGAGCTCTTCAGTACCACTGCCCTTCCGTTTGGTCTCCGACATACACACGACATCTAATTCTCTTTCTTTCATTATTTCGATCAACTCATTCGTCTTATCTCTCATGCCTCCTCTAACATTCCACGTGCCAACTCTGCACTCCGTCCTCCACCTTCCGCCGTGTCGGGCTGTGCGTGACGGGTGGCGGTCCCCATCGCCGCTTTGCGCGCTGCATTCCATACCAACGGGGACGAGCTGGTGTGCGTCGCCTTGGGGGGACGCCCTAACCCTCGTTGACATGGGTGCGCAGCTGAGTAGAATTGCAGCCCTGAAAAGGGCTGGCAGGGGTCGCGACGAGCACGCTTCTACAATGACCCCCTAGATTTTTTGAGATATTTATATAAATTAGTTATTTAGCACCTGGCAAAAATCAGTATATTAAGAAGTCTGGTGTCAGAAAAGCAAAAAGGTATTTGTCAGGTACATTAACTGATATTTTTAAAAATTTTAGAATGATTACTCTAGAATACGCTTGAGGTATTCCTCGTTTTGTAAGCTACGACCATTTTGGATATGTTTCCCACGAAAAACATGAGACACTTGTCTATGTAAGACCCATTTAAATACGGAATTGTTGGTTTCTGGCTTACATCGAGCTAGGCTTATGTCAGAAAGTAATACAAGTCAACTGCTTAAATCTTCGTGCTGCAATGAATATGACGAAAAATGCTTAGGTGGTTTGTGCGGGTCTTGCAAAAATAAGAGTGTTAAGTATTTAGCGTTTAATGATTCAACAAGAGTAGACTACTACCAATGGGTTACTAAGAAAGAAAACCCCAAGTCATTATTATCTAAAATTAAATCTGTAGAGCCTGCTAGAGCTCTACAGAAATAGAGACGAGATTTAGAGAAATTTCTTTCACATGTTCAAAATATTCTTGCTGAATACAAATCTTTAAATGAAATCAAATCAAATCTAAAAATGACTATTATTCATTGTGACTGAAGTGAGAATTACACTCTCAAATACGCTGAAGAGGTCCAGTCACTTCACTTTGGTGGTAGTCGACAACATGTTAGCCTACATACACCGATAGTATACATTTGTGATCGATTTTGGGGTGATAACTCCCCGATCATTTTGCTATTTATATTTATATTCATACTACTTCTGCTATTTGGGCACACTTAAAATTCTTACTACGAGTACATTACATCAAAAATAACAATCCTCACGTTAACACTATTCATTTTATGTCTGACGGTCCAACTAGTCAGTACCGCAATAAATTTACTTTTTGCGTGTTTACTAAATTACATGTAGATTTTTATGGACTTGAATTTGTTACATGGAACTATAGTGAGGCTGGCCACGGTAAAGGTGCACCAGATGGGGTAGGCGGTGCTTTAAAAACTACGAGTAGAATGGATCGTGTTGTTAGTTACGGTCGTGACCTTGGTAATTTTGTAGACTTTCTAACAACTTTGAGACATTTCGAAAATTTTGAGTAATATTCAAATTCAAATTGTTGACCAAGTTGATATTATGAATATAGAAGCGTTATTGCTTGCCACAGTTCCTTCTTTTGAAGGTACGTTACGTATACATCAGGTTTTATTGGAGACTAAAACACCTGTCATGGCTGCTAGAAGCTTAAGTTGCTTCTCGTGTATGTGTATACCAAGTCCATGTTTACATGGAAAACATTTAGGCTTTATAAACTTGATTCAAGACCCGGAGCAAAATGAATCTCACCCACCTGTTGTGAAAAAGGTTATAGCGGAATCCAAGAAGGTTACGGTTCTTTCAGACATTAGTATAAATGTTAACAATCTGAGGATTTCTAGGAAACGGCATTTTGCTGATGATAAACAACTTGAAATTAGGAATTCTAGTACTTATAATATTTCATCGTGTGACATTGCGAAACATTTTGAATCATTAATTGATTCCACTGTCGTTTCTCAAAATGAACCCCAACCTTCATCGTCGCAGCGTTTACCTTAATTATTATACATAATAATAAGTATTTTTATAATTTGATTGCTTAACCAAATATTTGTAGCTCATATTTGTTGATTTATTGAAGATTATTAATAATTTTATGTGTCGTTGGTTATTTCTTAGATATAATTATTAATTACAATATGTAACTAACAAGAATTTTGATAAATTTTTCATGTGGGTTATCAAAATCCATAATCAAACTATTATAAATTGAAAAAATGTGTGGCGTACCTATCGTGTTTTATAAGCTCTTGATGCCGTACATTTTATTGTCTTTTTAAGTTTCAATATCGGTTCTTAGAATCAACGTGAAAAATACACGAGAGTATTTTTGTTAAATAACGTACCTATAATACAATTTTCTCATGAATATTACCCACCTTAATTATTTAAATAATTGTGAATTATTTTAAAAAGTCCAAATGTTTACGGTAGATAGGTAAGTGAAATTTGTCACCTAATTAGTTTTTAGTTAAGAATAAACGTTTTATTTCATTCCCCTTTGTTTTATTTCATTCCCGTCCCGTGCGATAAATTTAAAGGACTTGTAACTCTTAAGGTAATTAGTAGAATAAAGTGCCTCATACATAATGTTTTATATATTTAAACCTAGAACACGATAGATAAATAAATCCTTGTAATATGAATGTTTTTTTAAATTCTTCATTTTATTGCATGATATAAGAATCACTCTTATATGTTACTTTATAAAAAGTCGTTTGATATTTCTTAATTTGCTAATTTTGCGAATTTTTAAACAGTTTATAGTGAATTTTCCAATTCATTATAAAGTACGAAGATGACTAAGTGTTGTGTAAGATGCTGTGCCTCAAAATATAGTCAAAAATCACGCGAATTATCATTTCATAGGTGAGTGATTTAGTTTTTGGTGTAAATATAATGTAAAAACGTTTATATCTTTTGCGACAGTAAGTAGATGGATGTAATTATTTACCCTAAACCTTTAATTCATATTATTTAATTACTTCTTATCATTCTTTGCGTATCTATAAAATTTTGTTGTTCGTAAATAGTGATGTTACATTGCTAACAATACATTTTTTCAAGGACATACTTTATTAAGGTTTTCTTGATTTATTCTGTCGTATTATGTGCAAAAGTTTTGCGTTATGCATTGCATTATTTCGGTGTCATGGATCTGAGCAGTGAGCATAAATGATTAACTAAATTATACGGAAACGGAGTTACATTCATGGTAGGACCTACGGTACCTATAAAATAAAAGTGAAGCAAAGCAACAAAGATTACATAAAGTACAATCTAGCGCCTGTAAGTAATCTCTCTCTGTAGGCAAACGTGCAAATACCACAGAGACTATGGACATTATTACTTGACTTTATTATATATTGTTTAGTTATATATTGTATATATTAGCCCATCCATGCCTTCTAATAATGCAATATACATAAATGTTAAGCATATTTTTATTTATAATTTACCTTAAGTCACCTTTTATAACAGCCATCGTGTTGTTTAATTTGTAATATTATTTGCAGCTTCATAGATCTAAATCATTATTTTCTGTTCTATCATTTTAGGTTGCCAAAGAACAAAAAGAAAAGACAAATATGGCTTGACTCTATTGGTGTAGAAAATATCAACCCAACAGATAAACAAAACTTCATGTTCCCTGCATTTTGTAAAGGAATCTATTAATAAAACTCTTGATGTAGTTAGGCTTTGTGATGATGCAGTGCCAACAATTTTTCCGGCTGTAAGTTTCTAGTTTTGTTACACTTGTACAACAAGCAATGTTTGTTATGCAAATATGATTAGTAGTTCTTTTAGAAGAAGTGATTACTGATGCTTAACATTACTGATTATGCATATTTTGACATACATAATATTACTTAGTTTTCAAAATATAGATATTTACTTTATATTTATCAAAAAAACTACATATATTTTTAATCATCTCTTTCCCTGCCCCATGAATCATATATGAACATTTCAATTGTTTAACTATTGTGTGTTTTGTAGACAGGGAAATTGTTAAATATTAAAAAATCTTTTTATAACCATTTATAGAATTCTTGCTTTATTAAATTTAAGAGGTTCCACAAAATAATGTTGTTCATGATTAAAACATTGTATTTGTGGAATTCATTTAAACTTTTTGCAAAATTTGGATTTTGCAATTGAAGCGATTTTTACAAAAACAACATAACTCTCATTTTTCGTATTTTTTTATTACTGGCAACTTTTTGTTCTTTTTTAAATAGGCTTTTCAACGCATTGATCCATTTTTAACAAAAATTACTCAACTACGAGAAATCTCTTGTTAAAAATTTAGTGATTTTACAAAAACTACATATGTGCATCAATATTTGGCAAAAACAACATAACTGTCACAGTTGTGTAGATTTTGTAAAAAAAAATTCGTCAAATCTGTCACTGTCAGTGTATCAGTTGGCGGTAGCGAGTTGTTTTGTTTTGGAGTTAATTTGCAAGTTTCGCTATAAATTATGGCGGAAAATAGTGAAAATACTACTGGAATTAAACGTAAACAACCCAAGATGAAAAAAGAAACTGTGATAAAATTAAAGAAAGCTCAAGGAAAAGAACATATTAACCACAGAAATAACCTAATCAAGAAAAGAGTGGTTGGACCTGATTGCAGGTTAGCTGAGTGAATATATTAGTGTTTTCATTGTTGTTTATCGTTGTTACAATAAAAATAACCAAAATTCTTTATTTCCAGGTGCAAAGTTTTGAAATGTTATACCAAAATAAGTTCTCAAGATAGAGAAAATATAATACTTCATTTCAATAAGTTGGGCAACAAAAATGATCAAGATGCTTACTTGATGAGTCTGATTTCATCATCATATCCCAAGAGGCATACTACTGAAGCTCCACAAAAGTATCGAATGGCTTCTTATTCATTTAAAATACGCGTTGGTGTAAATGAAATACCAGTATGCCTGACGGCTTTTTGCAACATTCATGGGGTGACAAAAGGTCGCGTCCGAAGGCTTCAACATCTGATTTCAATTAACATTTTAACACCTAAGGATATGCGTGGATCACACAAAAGTAACAGGTATAAGAAAACACCTGAAGAAGTTCTAAACCTAGTCCGCAATCACATTGAGTCATTTAAAACCATGCAATCACATTATTCCCTGAGACAAGACCCTAACTGCCGATATTTGCCTGAAAATTTAACTGTTTTAAAAATGTTTAATATGTTTCTGAATAGCTATCAAATAAGAGTTACTTATATGGTGTATTGGTTAGTTTTTAAAAATTAATATACACTGAAATTCGGTTTACCAAGAACAGACACCTGTGCAACATGTGATAAATACAGATTAAAGATAAAATTGGCTGCTTTGGATGAGACAAAAACTTTACTGAAGAATGAACATAAACTGTATTTGTTGAAAGTTGAAAAATTCAATGAAATTAGACGCAAAGAAAAACAAAAAGCTCAGGAGGATAAAAGTATGTGTGTTACATTTGATTTCATGCAGAATCTGCCATTACCACATATTCGGACTAGTGATGTGTATTTTTGTTGCCAGCTGTGGCTCTATGTATTTGGTGTCCACAATGTTGGAACAAATCAAGTGGTTTTGAATAGCTACTTAGAGACAGAGGGCAAAAAAGGCCAGAATGATGTCACAACACTTTTATTAAGATATTTTAGTACCCACGGAATTTCTTCTGATAAATTAGTGCTGATAAGTGATGGATGCTCTGGTCAGAACAAGAATTATGTAATGGTGTACTTTCTTTATTGCTTAGTTCATGGGCTGATGTTGTTTAAAAGCATTAAATATATATTTCCTATCAGAGGACATACTTATCTCCCAAATGACCAGGATTTTAGCTTGATTGGGAATAAAAAGAAAAAAATGACAGCAGAAGTACCTGATGACTGGAATGAATTAATGGAAACTATAAGAAAAAATCCATCACCTTTTATTGTGGATAAAATAAACCATACTGATTTTATGAATATGAAAGCAGCTGTTAGTCCATATTTTTTACGTCAGCCAAAACCTGCAATGAAGCTGAAAGAAGTTAGGATGCTTAAAATAAATAAAGATGTTCCTTATGTTCAAGTCAGGTATAACTTTACTGGTCCATGGCACAGGATACAGATTCGCAATAAAAGAAAACTGCCTAAAGAACTTCAACTTCAACCTACTTATGAATCAAGATTGCCGTTAAATCCTCATAAATATAATGATATACTTAAACTAACCCATTATTTATCAAGCCCTGTAAGTCACAAATTTTATACAGATCTATTGGGTTCAGTTACTGCATCTGAAGCTACCACCTCATTAGCTAATGAAGTAGATAACGAGGACAATAGTAGTGGCACAGAAGATAATTAGCATTTTTTATAATTATATACCTAAAAGTACAAACTTTTTAATAAATAGCTGGTTGCTGATTTTAAATGAGTTTTATTATGAAATATTTTGAAGATCTGCTCTTTTTGTTACAAAAACAACTTAACTTCAGGAAAATCTAGAAATTTTATTACAAAAACCGCATAACTACCAATATTTGGCAAAAAATACATAAATGCAAAGCCTATTTTTTTATTTTATTTGATTTGTAGGAAATGTAACTATAAAACATCAGTTTAATATGAATAAATAACCAGAAATACATAATTAATTAAAATATTTAATGACTCTAAATTTAGTATTTAAAAAGATATTAAGTTTTTTTTCTATACTGAATAATTATGTGTAACACAGTTATGTTGTTTTTGTAAATATTGCTTCAATTACTCTTAACAAAATAAGGCATAGGCCCAGTGCATGAAAATTCACTTAGGGAGTCATGTCCTAATTTGTAGCACAAGTACTCGCTACTGGGGTGGACCCAGTATAAGTTTATTTCAAAACTGCTTTATAAACGTAAATATCATCATCATCATTACAGCCTTTCATAAGTCCACTGCTGAACATAGGCCTCCACCAAGGAATGCCACAAAGCGCGGTCCTGAGCCATGCAGATGCATCCATCGACTTCCTGCATATCTTACCAGGTCGTCACTCCATCTAGTGGGGGGACGCCCAACACTTCGCCTGCCGGTACACGAGACTGCCACTCGAGAAACTTTCTTCCCCATCGGTTGCCGGTCTTCGAGCTATATGGCCGGCCCATTGCCAATTCAGCTTACTAATCCGTTGGGCTATGTCGGTCACTCTGGTTCTACTGCGGATATCCTCATTTCTGAGTTTATCACGCAGAGAAACTCCGAGCCCTCTCCATAGCTCGCTGAGCGACCTTGAGCTTCCTCATCCGGCCAGCAGTGAAGGACCACGTCTCAGTTCCGTATGTCATCACTGGCAACACGGACTGGTTGTACAGTCTCGTTTTCAATTTTTGAGGTATACCTGACGAGAATGTGCCGTAATTTCACGAACGCTGTCCAACCGAGTTGAATCCGTCGATTGACCTCTCGGACTTACCTAGTCGGACTATTTGTCCCAGGTAAACATACTCGTCAACAACTTCGAACTTAGTGCTCCCAACAACTACCGGCATAGGTGTGACATGGGCATTAAACGTGATCTTTGTTTTGTCCATGTTCATCTTAAGACCTATCCGTTGGGAAACACTATTGAGGTCATTGAGCATAGTGCTTAGGTCCTCCAGCGATTCTGCCATAAGGACTATATCGTCGGCAAATCGAAGGTGAGTGATGTACTCGCCATTGATGTTGATACAGTATCCTTTCCAGTCCAGAATCTTGAAATCGTCTTCTAATGCAGCGGTGAAGAGTTTCGGGGGTATGACGTCACCCTGTCTTACACCTCTCTGCAAATGGATAGGTTTCGTACTCTGGTTCTGTACTCGGATAGCCATTGTAGCCCTACTGTACAAGCACTTCAGCACTTCGATATACCGACAGTCCACTTGGCACCGCTGAAGGGACTGCAGCACCGCCCAAATTTCGACGTAATATATATCTATACATATAATAAAACTGTAAATAGCAGATGTCTGTACATTTTATATTTTTGTAATAAAAGTGATTGAGGGGCACTAAAAATAAGTAATTAAATACATTTCTACCATTTTTAGAATTTTCTGTCTGTCTGTCTGTCTGTCTGTCTGTCTGTTTGTTTGTTAACGTATCACGTATAAAGTACTAATTTATATCATAAGAATTGTTAAGGAAATTTTAAAGTGTATCTTCGGGTTACATTTAGTCTTTATTTCATTAAAATCAGTTCATTCCATCAAAAGTTATGATAAATATTCTGAAATATGGGTAGGGAAGTATAGGTACGAATTTGCTCAACGGTGGCTTTGTTTGAGTCATCAAGTGCATTTTAAACTAATATCATATCATAAATCATAGTTAAATTATGTAAAATAATGATATAATTATGTATATCTAAAACGCAGTAAACAAAAGTATTAAAGAACGTATTAAATATATTATACAAAAATATATTAACCTTATTAACTAAATCTGAAGCACAATAGTTAACCCATTTCTTCGATAGATGGTGGTGTTGTGAAAATGTAATGCAATTGCAATGTGGTTTTTTTCTGTAGATGAGTTTTTATATTTACTGCTAATCTTTATTATATTACTCGCTGCCCTACTGCGTGTTGACAAACTCAATTTATTCTTTACCGCCGAGTACTCTATGTGGTAAATCAAATTTTAAAAGAGCTATTAACAATTGCGTTGGTTTTGGCGAGAGTCAAACTTTATTTTTTGCTTACTGTGCAGGCACTGATTTATAAGTTCTCTTGCGTTTTATATAATGTATCAATCGCGTCAATTAATCTCTTTTATTTTTAGAATTGATGTTAGCAGCGCCATCTCTCTTTAAATATATACATATAATAAAAATGATGATAACATGTTGTGTCTCTTTCTGTACATTGTATATATATATATATATATATATATATATATATATATATATATATATATATATATATATATATATATATATATATATATATATTTTGGTGGCTAAAATCATTATGGGGAACTGAAAATAATTAAATAAGAACATTTTATAATTTTTAGAATTTTCTGTCTGTCTATTTGTCTGTTATTATATGAACGCATCACGTCTAAAGTAAACATCTTTTATTTTCAAAGAAATCGTTAAGAAAATCATAAAGCGTATCTTCGATTTACATTTAATCTTTGTTTTATTAAAATTGGTTAATTCTCTAAAAATTTTGCAACGAAATGTCGTGATATTGTATTTATTTTATAATATACGCAAAATCAGTACTGCCATTTTAGCGCTTTGGGAACTAGATTTAGCGCTTTTTTGGAATGTATAGCGCGCATTTCGAAATTTTAGCACCTAGCTTAATCCAGCGCTTTTTGGTGTATTTAGCACACATTTCAATATTTTAGCGACTAGCTGGTTATTAACTCTTTTATAGCAGCACTGTTAGTCCACATTACCGATAATAATAATAATGACCTTTATTATTTTTTCCCACAAATAGTAAGTACATTGCAGTTTATCTTTTTCAAACATATTTTTTCCACAAAACAAAGAGCATGGGAGACGAGTCCAAACTAGGATACCCTGTGCTATGGATCTCCTGGCTTCCCCTTTAGGATGATCAACTTGATTTTTTTACCGACGACTATAAGCGGGGAAATCCCCTTTATTAAAGTTTTCGTTCATGGTTTTGGCAACGCATTTATTTTGCTTTATTCAGTTTCAGTCAGTTGCTTAGAGCACAGTTAAGTTAAAAGTTACTTAGAAGTTATAACACAAAGAAACTGTGTAGCAACCGCAATCAGATGCTGACATCTGAAACTAAGTTGTGAAATACATTGCACTTTAAAACAATTAATGACATTTTTATTGTTCGTACAGTACTAACTACTGTCGACAGCAATTGCCATAATTATAAGTCGATGTCCTGCGAAGTATTGATACATCAAAAAAATATTGCCAGAAAAAAAACTTAATATTGTTTTCTTTATTATGATTATATAAAAAAAAACACAAACTTTGTTTGTAGTTAATTTAGCGCGAATTCTAGGGCTTTTTTAAAGCGCTGTTTTCATGAAATCTAGCGCTTTTTGTGTTGTCCTAGAGCTGAATGAGTTTTTTTTATCTGGCAGCACTGCCCAAAAACCCTCTATTAAGAAGTAACTTTCCTTTCAGTTTTATGCGCGTTCAGTTCCCAGTTACAGTGAGCGTGTGTTATGCGATGACCGTAAATAAAGCGCAAGGTCAAACTTTACGCGTTGTAGGAGTATACCTCAGTACTGACTGTTTTGCAC